CTCGATGCTTTCAGCGATTTGTTTCATGGTGGACAGGTTTTGTGTGAGGCTGGCTATTTGTTTCTCAAGTTGCACGATCGAATTGTTGAGGTTGCTTTCCCAATCGTCAGGGCTGGGCTCCGCATTTTTTAGGCCGCTGATAAATGGGAAGCTAGGCGCAAGGAATTGAGGGTTGATGAGCGGTTTATCTTGCGTGTCGAATACTAAGTCTTGCTCGACGATTCCGCATTCGACGAGGCCCCAGAGGGTGTTGGCGAGATACAATGCGGCAAACTTACGGGGCGCTTAGTTCGGACTCTACATAGCTGCGCAGGGTGCGTGATGAAACGGCAAGGATGAGTGTCGGTTTATCGCTGACAAACTTGAGCGCCTCGGCGATTTTTTCGAATGGGCCGTCCCAGTAATGCTCGAACTTGTTGCTCGAATCAGCCGTCAAAGTCGCTCGTGTGTCTGCGAAATTGCTCCACGTACTGTATGCCTCCCGGCTGACTACAAAAAAGTCAAAGTGATTGGACTGGAGAATGGCTTTCGCTTGCTTGGTATCGAAGCGTTCAATGCGAATCCATGGGCGCTGCTCAGCGTTCGTTGCGTTTCGATCCAATCTGCTCTTCCAACTTTGACAGAGATCGATTTCAACGATGGGCAGCGATTCCAATACTCGTTCGCAAATGAGGTATGGATAGTAAGAGTCCGCAGCAACTGGCTTGATGAAGTTGTCGCGCAGGAGTTCGCGGGCCAACTTTGAATGCTTGCGCCGGTCGGGTTCGAGCCTCGATAAGTTCAGTCTCGGCCTGCGCCCGGACAAAATGCTCTCCAGATAAAACTCCTGTAGCGCGGTCAAGTACTTCACGTCGGAGGATGCGCGTTGAGCCATCGGCTTGCTCCTGTCTGCGCTGGTTAAAATGTTTCTGCCTTTGAGCCGTTCAAAGAGTGATCGAGGGACCATTGTTGGTGGCTCGAAGACACGTTGGGTCTTGGGCAGAGCATTTGCGATTGGTCACAACCAAACGCGTTAGCGAGTAGCAGCACCACTCGATTTTCCATTGGCAACAGATGTTCTCGCCTGGCCGTCAAGCCAATCTTGCAGAATGTTGGGCGAGTATAGGCTTATCCAGTTGTGGACATCCCAGTGCCGCTCCTCGCTCACGCGTCGGGTTGGGATTGCAGACCTGGCGATCAGCGACACTTCGGTGCGGCTTCAACGGAAGTATGACAGGTGGCAAGACGGAGACTTGTGCCACCGTTATTGGAACGCGGTTGGGGGTGTGGATATCGACTCATTCACCGAGGAATGGTCAGTGTGCGCCTCACGCTTGACGGAGGAAGATGATGAGGGTGGTCATTCTTGCACACGTTTCATCCACATGTTCCACTTCAAGCCGTCACTATTGATGAATTCTCCTTCCACGCCTCCACCGTTGGTCTTTACGGCGTGTAAGAGTGCCTTGCCTTTCAGTTCAACCCACTCGTTGCCCATGCTCTTGGCTCGCAGTGTCTCAAACTCGGCGATCGTAACTCGCTCTTTCCCCCTTGCGGCTTGGATACATCCACTTGTTTGGACATTTCGCCTTCTTCCGTTTCCGCTTGATAGATCTTCAAATCGGATACTCTCATCCTGCCACGCATAATATCTTTCGCTTTGGGGCCCTGGTTTTTAGGTTCCAGACGAAACGTCCAAATCGCGCCATCGATCGTCCCTGTCTCAGCAGCCATCTGCTCAAAACGCCGTGCCTTCTTGGCCGGCTGAGCCGAGCAGGTGCCAGCCAAAATGCCAACCATCGTCAGGACAGCAAGCATAAACTTGGATGTGGTGATGAAAGTGAGAACACCAGTTACCTTCGTATGTAACCAAGCTCATCGCAATCTTAGATATCTATTGGATATGTGTGTCGCAGCAGGCTGCGGACCGGCTCCGCGGCCACACCAATTTTGGGGAATGTTCGTCTCAAAACGGATTGCGTTTTGGTTGTCAGTGTGGCTACCGTTCTGTATCGTTTATCAGATGTGAATGATAGCGGTCGGCGGTCAAGTGTACTCTTTCCCTCGCGCAATGACCTACGCGAAAAGACTCGCAGTGCTGAAGGTTAGACGATGCTCATGCGACTGAGTAGTTGACCCATCCGAGAACCTAGGGCGAGCACCGTGCGGCTTCGGACCAAAGCGAAGATGTTTTGGAACCGTTTAGCTCGAAGTTTCATATTTCCTGCTACTTGGGAGGTCGCCTGTGCCGAGCAAATTCTGCGTCCGCACTTCATCAACCGCAACGGTCTGGAGCCAGCGCATTTGTTCGAACTGTTAGCGGCAGCAAGTACACACTTCGTATGGTTGGTCGCCGGTGATGGTACGCCAGTTTATGCCAATGCGGCCTGGAAAAGCTTTACCGGTTCGTTAACCGAGGATTCACTGCCAACTTTCTCGGAACAGGTCATTCAGCCAAGTGAACGAGTCGCTTTCGAATCTCAATGGAAGAGTGCCGTGGCTAGTGGTGTCGGCTACGAGGTCCAGTGCCATTTGCGAAGATACGACGGCCAATACATTCTCACATCCGTAAGAATGGAACCAGCGGGCCACTCCGGCGACTCGACGACTTACTGGCTGGGCACCGGCATGATCGTAAATGGTGCCGATAGGGGCAGTAGTCCGCACGATTTGTATGCCTCGTTTTTTGATTCGATCGATGAAGGCATCTGTATCATTGAGATGACTGAATTCGACGAAGAAGGCAGAGGCGTAGACTACCGCTTTCTCGAGACGAATTCGGCATTTGAGTTACATACCGGTCTGACCAATGCCGCTGGCAAGACCGCCAAAGAGTTGGTACCCGAACTTGGAACCGCATTGGCCACAGCGTTACGGACGTATCGCCACGACTGCCACACGAGAAAGCTTCATCGATCATTCGGAAGCGATGAATCGTTGGTTCGAGGTGGATGCCTTCCCGATAGGGCCGGTCGAAAAACGGCAAGTCGGCCTGTTGTTTAAAGATGTCACGCAGCGGATAACGCACGAAGCCGCTTTACGGGCCACGGAGAAACGCCTGCGAGTTCGCAATGAGCAGTTGGCACTTTTGGCGAAGGTTTCGCAACGGTCTCTTCAGAGTCACCAAACGGAACAGGAGCTATTGGCAGCGGCGTTTCAAGAGGTGGCCGCTGCCATAGACGCCGAGCTATTCCTCAACTATCAGCCCCACGACGACAACTCCATAAAACTGTGCACTTGGGGTGGGCTGACCTTCTGGCAATGTTGGTAGAACGTCTTGGCCACGAAGTCACTACCGCATGCAATGGGTTGCAGGCCGTGACATGTGTTCATGAATATAAGCCGGACGTGGCCTTTCTCGATATTGGCATGCCTGTCATGGACGGTTACGAAGCGGCTCAAGCGATTCGTCGTGAATCTTGGGGCCGGGATGTTATGCTGGTTGCGTTGACCGGGTGGGGACAAGAAGACGATATACAGAAATCCAGACAGGCGGGCTTTGATCACCACGTGGTCAAGCCGGTAAATGCAGATGAGATTCGAAGGCTGCTGGCGATCGCTCTCACCAAAGACGACTAAGCAGAGCGCGACGTATCTATTTTTCGGTCACATAGTTTTGGTATCTTCTCACCGCAACGGGCGTGGAAGGCTCAAAGTCGTCCTTGTGCCGGCGCGAGCATGACTGGCAGCTACCGACCGATCAACGCTCCGCAACTTTTGACGTTACGGCGAGGTTGACGTTTCTCAAAAGCGCACCTCGCAACCGAGCCGTTTTCGATATTCATAGGATCGAAGGCCTCCGACCAGATGAGAACCGTCGGCGGCTCGATCAAAGCCACAGGCCGTTGGAGAGTTTATCGTTCGCCGCCAAAAGCCGAAGAGGGCCGTCGCGATGGCCAGCGATTGGTAGCTGCCAGTCATGCTTCCGCCGGCACAAGGCCGACGGTGAGCGTTCCACGCTGCTGGCAGTGAGAAGATACTAATTTTTCGTCTGGTTGATCATGCGTTTCGAGAACCGGGGGATTATCAAGCACCCTTGGTCAAGGATATTTGAACCAATTCCATGTGGCCACTCTGGTAGTACGCGGCACAGCCGCGCAAGTAGTGCATGTACATGTCGTAGGTATCTTTCGATGTCAGCTCGATTGCTCGATCGCGAGCGGCCTCTAACCGATCCGCCCAGCACGTCAGTGTCCGGGCATAGTGCGGCTGCAAAGAGTGAATTCGCGTTACATCGAAGCCGGCTTCTTTTGCGTAGCGACAGATGACTGAAGGCATTCTCAATTGCCCGCCAGGGAATATTTTCTTGGCGATGAATTTCGCGAAACAGCACTCCTTCGTGCGTACTGGCCAGGCCCTTATCACGAATGACTTCCCATTCGGAAACACAATGGCTTGGATGATCATCGGGGCGCGGGCTGGCAGGAGCCGAAAACACTTTTCGAAAAAAGCGGCGTAGCGCTCTTCTTTAAAGTGTTCCATCGCGCAAATGACGGAGATGCGATCGACCGGTTCATCAAACTCTTCCCATCCCTGCAGACGAAACTCTGCCTTGTCCGCCAACCCGCGAGCAGCAGCTTGGTGCGTGGCATATTCAAACTGCTCTCGACTGAGAGTGATGCCGATCCCGGTCATCGAGTATCGTTCAACGGCGCGCAGCACAAACGAGCCCCAGCCACAGCCGATATCGAGCAGGCGTTGTCCGGGCCGGGTGCTGATTTTACTTAATGCCAAATCTATTTTGGCATCCTGGGCCTGTTTCCAACGTCATGTCCTCGCGCTCGAAGTAAGCGCAGGTGTACATCATGGTTGGGCCAAGAAACAGAGCAAAGAAGTCGTTGCTCAGATCGTAGTGGGCTTGCACGTCTTCGTACGGCGGCTTCAACATGGTGATTTCGATTCGCTTCACGGATCATCCAGACTGCCGGCCCATTGGGCATCTTAACGGTTGACCGAGCGAATTTCCAGCGGGGCGGGGTTATCGAAGTTCCAGGACAACTCTGCCGGTCGTGCCTACTGAATTGGCCTTTACGCCGGCCAGGTCCAGGATGCCGATCTGGCCCTACAAGCTTGCCGGAGTATTCGAAGTAGCGCGGACTACCCTTGACTAAGCGGACGGTTTTGAAAGCGAGGTTGATGCCATCGTAGGTGCCAGCGACGTCGGCGACAAATCCGCCTTGATGCAAGCGGCCGGCAAAGATTGAACCGTTGCGCTCGGTGACTTTCAAGCGTAGCTCGGCTTCGACTCGACCATTGTTGATTCGTTTGACGCGAATGGCATCTGGGCCTTCGATAACTCGCGTAACGGGTCCCCAGTTGTAGTCTTGACGTATGCCGACAAAAACGGTGCCCTTCTTCATGGAATCGAACTTGGTTACACGCGCACTGGTATGCTCCATCTCCTTCGTAAACTGAGCGTGTCGCATATCAGCTTTGGGCAACGCGTCTAAGACTTGCAGATAGTCGCGCATCAGGCTCTGGTAGTTCGTCAGAATCTTCACAATAAAAGAAACATAGTGTTCTTGCATTGCCGGAATTTTGGCGAAGGTGCCGCGATGGGTAAACTCATCGCGGGCTTGCTTGATATCGACGGCGATTGACTGACGATCCAGCGGTGCGATTTGCGTCGAACTATTGACGAAGGCGATCAGTTCCTCAAACGCCTTTTCCAGCTTCTGAGTTTCCGTGCTGTAGGTCGTTTCAAACGATTGTTTACTTGTTTCCAGCTTTTCCAGGTGACGCGTTAGCGGCACGGGATCCTTGGCGATAGCCAGCGGATTTCCACCGACGAGAATCACGCTGTGAGCGATAAGCGTTACGACAGATAGCCACTTAGAACCTGCGATCGCGAAACTCAGGCAAACACGATTCATGGCTCACTCCAGGATGGTGATAGTTGGAGAGCTCGGGCGATGAAGAACTATCAAGAAAGGCAACTCGAGTGGAGTTTCTGTCGCCCGATTTAAAAGATTTTAATTTAGGGCTGTTTTGTTTAGCCCGTGGCCGAAGGCTAGGAGAACCCGCTAACCCGCCGCATGTTCACCTAACTGTCTTTGTCTCGAAATTCGGTTTGACACTTCACGCTAGACTCAATCGGCCAAGTCATCTGGCGATGCCATGCCTGCTGCGCCCGAATCTGCCTTTCCTGAACAAACTTTCCAACCATTCGAAATCACCGAAGAGCTCGCCGGAGTGTGTTGGTAAATCCAGCGACTCGCCTTCGGCATTTCCAGCTTGATTCAATCGATTGATGACTAGCAGTGCGTCGATGGCTGTCGCTTGGCCGTCGCGACTGACATCCAAGTAGGGAGGTGGACTGTTGCCGCTCGTAGGATCGGGCAGCTTGCTTGGTCCACCAAGATTGAGGTGGTTGATCACTAACAAGGCATCGATTGGCGATATGAATCCATCGGCATTCACATCCATAGGACTTCGTGCGTTGTGCCATGGCCAATTGGTCTCGTCTTCGACCACCGACAGCGTCGATGTTGCCACGACCAATCCGGTTGCCGATGCAGTGATCTCAGTAGCGAAGTCTCCGGTAAAGCTGGAGTCATCCATGATGTTGATAAAAAATGATGCCGACTCCGTTCCGCGCGGGATCGTTATTTGGGCTGGCAACGATACTCTGGTCGCTTCGCTGCTGGACAACAGTACGACTTGCTCGTTATCGGTAGGAGTATTTCGTCGGACGACGGCTGAAATCGATCCGCCATTCTCTGACACGATGTTCGTTGTAAGACTGAGCGTTAGTTGAGCTACATCATCGTCGACCACATCCAGTGTTGCAGCCGACGCAGTCAGCCCTGTGGCCGAAGCAGCGAGCTCGACGGTACGCGAACCCTCTGCGATGAGGTTATCGATGGTTGAAATAGTGAATGTTGCAAAGGTCGCCCCCGAGGGAATAGTAATCGTGGCGGGCGCGGAAAACATACCTGGAATACTCGGAGTCAAGGCCACCACTAATGCTTGACCGGTAGAACTGTTGCGCTGTACGCGACCGCTGGTTGTGCCACCATTCTCTGCAAGTGATTGAGACAAAAACGTTAGCGACAAGGCCGCGAGGTCATCGTCAGTAACTGTCAGCAAAACGCTGGCACTGACCAGGCCAGTCGCAGTCGCGGTCAATGATACGTCGCGATCACCAAGGGACAGCAGGTCATCAACGCCGGTGACATTTATGGTTGTCGACTCCGCACCCGCCGGTATGGTCACACTTGGCGGAAAGGATAGCACGCCAGCCCCGTTGGATTCTAAGGAGACCAATTGCGTCGAGTTCAAGGGTGTATTGCGAGTAACCGTTACAGTTGCTGCGCCTCCATTTTCAGAAAACTGTAAGGTCGGTGTGCTCAGTCGCAGAACGGCCAGATCATCATCCATGACATTCAGAGGAGCAGTACCAGTCGCGTAGCCATCCGCCTGGGCACTGATGGTCGCAAGCTGCGCTCCATCAGCGACCGAATCATCAATTACATTGATTTCGAACTGTGCTGATGCAGCGCCCGCTGGAATGATAATAGTGGGCGCAACGAGGGCAGCAGCGGTAGCGTCGCTGCTGGTAAGGGAAACCACTAAATCCTGGCTGGTTGTCGTGTTGCGCGTAACCCTACCAGTCGCTGTCTTGATACTCTCGTTTATGAACGCTGCGCCCAGCGTGACCTGCAATGTGGCGATATCATCATCGACAAGCGTGATCGGTGCCGACGCGCCGATGAATCCTGCCGCATTGGCTGAGAAGGTTATCGTCTGATCCCCCAAGGCTAACGCATCATCGACGGCTTGAACTGCAAACGTAGTCGACAACGCACCGACAGCGATAGAAACGGACGCAGGCATAGAAAGCCTAAACCCTGGGTTGCTCGACAGGTTGACTTGCATGGCAGTCGAGGGAGTCGTGTTTCTGGTGACCGTTACCGTCGTTTGACCGTCTCGCTCGCTTATCGAACTCGACACAATTGCAAGTGCCAAGGTTGCCAGGTCGTCATCGGTTACGGTTACCTGTACCTGGCCATCGCGCAGGCCGGCCGCCGAAGCCGAGATAAAAGCGGTTTGGCTACCATCGGCAACTGCGTCATTAACAGCCGTAACCTCAAAGCTGACCGTAGCACTGCCTGTTGGCATGGTAACCGTCGCCGGCACTATTACATTCGACGGATCACTGCTCGTCAGACTCACTGCGAGATCCGATGTGGGCGGTGAATTGCGCAGCAAAGTCGCGATGACTTTACCGCCGTTTTCAGACATCGAAGCGGCGCTGAGCGTCAATGAGAATGCCGCTTCATCATCATCGACAAGTGTCACTTGACTAACCCCGGAAATGAATCCAGCCGAGGTGGCGGTGATGCTGACCGTTTGACTACCGTAGGCCCAAGAATCGTTGATGCCAGTTACGAAGAACGAGGCGCTGGAGGCACCGACTCCCAACGTAACTGTAGCAGGGACTGATACCAATCGCGGGTCGCCGCTGGTTACGTTGACAGTTAGAGCAGTTGTCGTGGGAGTATTGCGCGTGATCGTAGCTATGGTTCGGCCCCCATTCTCTGGAATGGATGCGGCAGATAAAGACAACAGTAAAGTGGCCTTTTCATCGTCCAACACGACAATCGGTACGCTGGCGGATGTAAAGCCTGCTCGAGATGCCGTAATCGTTACATTCTCGTCGCCATCGGCGAGCGTATCATCGACGCCGCTCACCGTCAGCGTCGCCGAGGCCGCGCCTGCGGGTATGGTTACCGTGTTTTGTAAGCTTGCAGCGGCAGTATTGCTACTGGCCAGCACGACAACCAGCGGTAGGGCTGTAGGTGTATTGCGAGTGACCGTGATTTGTGCAGTACCACCGTTTTCGGAGATGGAATTCGGCGAGACGCTCATCGTGATTGCGGGTGTCTCATCATCAACGATCTTGAGTTCTGCTGAAGCCAGAACGTACCCACCACTCGATGCAGTTAAGCGCGCAAGCTGATCGCCATCGGCAAGTGCATCATTGATGACCGTAATGACAAACGAAGCTGATACTGCGCCGTCCGGAATCGTTACCGAAGTAGGTACGGTCACCGCAGACGCATCGCTGCTAGTCAGTGCCACTGTAATGGCGCCATTGGCTGAATCGTTACGCGTCACTGTGGCCTGTGCTGTACCGCTGTTCTCAGAGACTTCTGTCGAAGCAAGCGTTAGGTTGAGCGCGCTGGCGACCGAAAACGCGGCGCGATAGTCGCCACCAGGTAACCCATTGCCAGACAGTTGCCGAGATGGTGAAAGGATATTCGTGTTTCCCGCGACGTAGTTCGTCAGGAACTCACCGTCCAGCAGCATGCCAGCCGTGTTGCGGATGCCTCCGGTACTACCATTGAGTTCGATTAAGTAGTAGCCAGCCTTCAGCGAAGTGGCCGTTTGAAAGGTAGCGCGATGCAGCACGGGATTCCATGTGATGACTCCATCCGCATCAGCGATGAACGTGTCATTACTATCGAAGAACGTTGGGTCAGGCGAATAGCGCAGCCGGACATTGGCTGGTGTCAGCGTAGAGGTGTCCAGTGCGCCGCTGAAGTCGATGTCCAAGCGATTGGTCAGCGGCCCTTGATAAGAAGACCCTGGCTGGATGCTGGCCGCAATCACCGATGGGCCGTTTATATGCC